TTCCACGAGCCTGTGGTAATAAACCACCATCGTCATCTGCAGCATTTTGAGAGTAGGAGGCTGCATCACAATATTCAAATCGATCCCTATGAGTTCAACTTCTATAAGTACGACATTATGTCCCTTATAGAAGCGCTGGGATGGGATTTTCTCCTTCGACAGCCGCTTCACCCAGCCTGTCCTGGTGCAGTCAAGTATTTCTACTCAAACCTTCGCTGCCAAGGAGTCAGCACCAGAAGTTTCTCCACAGTCATTTATGGTCACCTCCTGACCATTCCAGTGGGAGCTCTGAATGGGATCCTTGGATTCCCATCTCAAGGAATCGACATAGCTCATCCATCAGAATTCTGGAAGCAAAACTTCATCTTACCCACTGAATACTCAAATTTCTCTACTGAACCCACAGGAGGGACAGACGTGCCAATTCCCATCAACTGGTTAACACCCCGTTTGAGAATCTTCCATCACTTCATCACCCATGTTTTCTTTCCTAGAACCTACAATCTTGACGTAGTTCTGCCACTCGACCTGTGGATCATCGCCAGTGCCACCGCTGGGCGAAAACTGGACTACTCCAGTCTGATGTTTGGAAATCTTCTGCCAGTAGGAGACGAGCATTATCAAGGTTTAATGCCTTTCGGGTCCATCATAACTCGAATGCTCATTAATCTTGGCATTGACCTATCTGATCATCGAAGCGTGTTACACACCATGTACATGGGCGCCCTTAATGTGTTAATGGTCCTAGATCTTCCCACAGACTCTGCTCCACCTCCACCACCACTTCCTTCCAATTCCATCCTTGGTGCTCGACCGAAATCTGCTGGGAGCAACAAAGGAAAGTCTGTTGTTGGAGAGTCTAGCAAAAATACCAACCTTGTATTCACCATATCTGATGGAAATTCTTCCTAAGATGACTCAGCTGCTTCTGCCCCAGAAAACCCAACCTCTCCTGTCTCTTAATCTTTCATGCTGTTTCTGAGGGGGAATCTCCCCATCCTATCTTAGCCTCTCTTAGTAGTAGTTTTAGTTCTGTAGTGTCCTTAATTATCTGCTTAGTTAGATGTATGCTCTTTCCCAGGGGGAAGTATTTTAGGAGTTTATCTCCTCTATTTTGTAACCTCCCTGTTTGCTTCGGATTTATTAATGCAAGTTTTTATTTCCCTCGAGTGCTGCTCTGTTCTGTGTGCTATTTTTGTAGAAAATGCTGGACTTGTCAGACGAAGGGGGAAATTGCTGAAAGAAATAGGGTACCGTTCTTGTCAAGACAACTAAACGGTGACGTTTCCACATCAAGCACGCCAGCCTTACCACACGACGTCGTCTTGACACCAACGGACAAAAGCAGAAGAGTCGTCCTTCCAAGTCTTCGATTGAGATCATCGAGATGTTCAAAACCTAGCCACCCACCTATGCACTTCCAGAAGCATAGCAAGCCATATCTGGCAATCTCCTTCCTCAAGAAATTACCGACTCCAGAAGGGAAATGATCAATCTCCAGAGGAGCGTCTACGATCCCGCCAACGGTCACCTCTTCCTTTCTAGTATAAATAGCTCTGTCCTCTCTTAATTAGAACTTGACTTGGTCATATAGAAGAAAATAGCAGAAAGCGTATTTGTCTTCTTTGAGTCCAATTTGTAATCTCTTCAAGCTACTTGATTCACAGTGCGTGGTGCTGGGTGGATCAAGTTTGGAAAGAGAGTTTCTTCGAGTTTGTTTTGTCAAAGGGCCAACGTTGTTTGGCATAGCCTACGGGCTTGGTGTAATTCTTTTACTCTTTGTAGTTCTTTTCTCTCAATCAATATAACTTTCCTTTCTACAAAGTGTCTGAGAGAAAGAGTGATCGAGTAAAGTGTGAATTCGAGAGAATTTCTCCAATTCTGGTTTCATCAAAAACAGAGGCAATAGAACCTAAAGAAATCGGCCCTGCTCCACAAACAAATCTCTTTTTGGAGAAATTGACGGCATCAGCTAAAGTTTTGGTCGTCGACCAACTATACCCATTTGCCCCGAGACCCAACCTCTCGTTATTAATGTCCACCAGTCGTCGGGAAGCTCCATCAATAGCAAGACTAAGAATCAATGGAAAAATTCCAAAATACACATTTTTTTAAAAAAATTCCAAAATACACACGTTTTATGAAAAAACTCTAATCTACACATGTTTGGGCATCACCGCGGCCGTCAACCGCGGTGAAGGCCTAAATTAAGGCTGAAACTTCAAACTAACGTAACTTTGCGCTCGCTTATCCGATCATAGCGAACTTTTTTTATTCCGCATAACATTTCAAGATCTTTCAATCTACAATAGGCCTTCATGCCAAAAAAATGTCGTTTTCTATCCCGAACGAGCAATAGGCCTTCAAACTTTGGAAGGCCATAACTTTGTGCTCCACAATTCGAAAGTCATAAAGTTTTTTTTATAGAGCATAACTTTTTAAGAATAATTTCGATACAATCGGATAAGCGAGCCCAAAATTACGTTAGTTTGAAGTTTCAGCCTTAGGTCAGGCCTTCACCGCGGCCGACAAACGTGGGGAAGCCTTCACCGCGACCATCGACCGTGGTGATGCATTCACGGCTTTTGTCTACAGTGGTGAACATTCACCACTGTTGATCGTCACGGTGATGCCCAAACATGTGTAGATTGAGAATTTTTCATAAAACGTGTGTATTTTGAGATTTTTGTTAAAAACATGTGTATTCTCGGAAAAAATCTGAGAATCAACAACAGGAAAAAAATGCAAAAGGGAAGATTGGGTTTCTCTTTTGGTGGGGGGGGGGGGGTTATTACCGTTACTTTCCTCTCCCATATCGCTCTTGTAGGAATTTTCAATAGCGGGTGTAAGTGTAATAAAATGAAAAGTTATCGGAATAAAGAGCAAAATTGAAATCTACAGTATCACTTATAGTGGAAACTTTTAACTGCAACGACCATTCAAAAAATCTTGGCATTAGAGTGATTTTGGGGATGCTGACGTGGCTGGGTTCAATTGCAGCGGTTACCCTTATTTTCTCTGTTGGGTGGTTGGTTTTTGCCTTCCAGCCTTCACCACCATCAATTACCCCTTCCGAACGAATATCTTTGCGCCTCACATTCTACGCTGCTCTAAACCAAAACCTCACCTTTTGTCAAAGGCTTCTGCATACTAGCCGTGTAATCGTTCTTCATGGGGGACTTAATTTCTTCTGATTCGCCTCTTGGAATCACAGGTCCGATTTACCCTCTCCTCAAAGCTCTACCAACTCCCTACCGTAATTAGGCCCTATCCGTCGGTGAGCCCATCTAGGTGAATCAACTTCTCGAACCGCCTTCACCGACGGAAACCCAGTCGATGATTCCACTGGACAAGCTGTTCATCCTGCCGGATACTCAAGTCGCGCTTGACGACCCGACCATGGGGTTCTCAAGGGCTCGAACATAGTGTTGAGCAAGTACGCCAAGGATGCTCAAGGGGTGCAGGCTGAGTTCGTGAAGAGCAGCACGAGGATTGAGGATTGCCCCTCAAAATCAGTTCTAGGTTAGTCTTTGTCGTCGTATTCTTCAATTTTCCCTCATCAACCCCTGGGGTTAGGGTTTGAATTGTGTTGCTGTGTTGTTTTCCTCTTCTGCAGGTAGCTGTATTTTACAAAGCTCATTGTGTGATTTCCTTTATATAGTGTCATATTCCTGATCCGTGTAATTTTAGTTATTAGAATTCTGAACTAATCATTAGATTCTAATGGTGCTCTATTAAAAATTTATGTGTTCCACAGTTGCCTCTTCAGTATTGGTAGTCCAAACCATCTAATTGGATTCTCAATCCCAACAGTGAAGGTTATCCCCTTCTCTACGGCGCCTCCTCCTCTTATTTATGCGGCAGTATCATTTCTCTATGGCAATATATTGGCAACAGTAAGCTATTATTTATGCAACGATATTATTTCAAAGCAACATACTTGCAATGTGTATAAAATACTTGCAATGGGATACATAGGAAGCCATTGTAAGGCATGAAGCAAGATGTGTGATCTTTACATCAAGTTTGTCATATTGTTGATTCTGTATGGCATTACTCTTTTGACTTACATTTAATGACTTTGTTTTTAACTAGGTTACAAGCTTATTACAGTCAATCTTTGGAGCATCTCGAGAGTCAATCACAACCTTTCAGCTTTTTGAATTAGGTCTCTATTTATTTAGTTCCAGGCTATCATTCTCATTTCAAGTAGTAGGGGATCCGTATTTGATTTGTCAACTGCATGCAATTAAGTCCAGCTTTATCCTTCATTGGCCCTTCTTCTCCACTTTCTGCGACTTCAGGTATGACCTTTGCTCTCAACCTTCTGCAACATGGTTTGGTTAGAGCTAACGAGTTAGTTTGCTTGGTGACCGAAATTGGTGCAAAGGGAGTGGAATAAATCTATTGTGATGAAGAACCTAGGGCAAGAAGCATGACATGTTGCCGCTACCAAGACCGAGGAATGAGTTGCCTTCGATGACAAAGATCCGAAGACCTTGAAACCCGATTTCTAGAATCATGGTTACGCTGCATTTTGTTTAGTGCTATTTTAGTTTTTTGATTCTGACGTTTGATTGTTCATTTTCAACGGTTATGGTTCAAAGTCCACATTTGGATATACTTTCTGAGTTGTTGGTTTTGCGGGGGAAAACACCAAATGGGCTTCATTGATTTAGTATAAGAAGGTGAATTGCTCAATTATGAATTCAGAACGTCCACTTTTATCTATATGCTTAATTTAATAATTTTAATACTTGGGTTTCAATTAAATTTCAATTTCAGCAGCTGGGTTTGAGTCATGGCATACCAAATTCGGTATTTTCAAATGGAAATCAGATCCCTCACTAGCCAATGTGTTCACTATCTCTCTACGGTTTGTCCCACTGCCTTTTCCCTTATACTTGCTTTGTCTGATCGAAGTAGTTGGTCGAGTGCAACTGTTTTGGTGTTGTTGGACTTCCTAATTCAATAACGTGACTGAGTGTGTTAGATTATGAATGGATTCGTTAAAGGAAAGGAACTCCAAACGTGGTGGCGGCCACCCATCCCAGGAGCCTCTTTATCATACTGACAATTATATTGATGCATTCTTGGTGGTTCATTCTGTTGTGAGGAAGAAACTACAGCTGGTTGGAGTTACAACTATGCTTCTTGCTTCATTATGTTTTGAGGAACGAACTCTAGCTGGTTGGAGTTACAACCATGCTTATTGCTTACAAATATGAAGAAGTCTTGGTGCCTGTTGTGGGTGCTCGCATCCTAATTTCTAACAAGCCTTACAGTAGAAAATAAGTTCTTGCCATGGTAAATTTACAATCCAGGCAATTTAGTTTAAAATTCAAACTTGATCGTCACACTAATGACATTTTCGTGCCTTGATATGTCTATTGCAGGAAATTTAATTGTGAATGCCTTCAATTCAATGTGTCAGGAACTCCTTATATTTTCATGAAGAGATTTCTCAAAGCTGTGCAATTTGACAAGAAGGTTTGTGAACTTCGAAGCCAGATTTAGTGACATATGATTACTTATGCCATTACCTAATGTGATAGCTTGAGCTCCCATCATTCTTCATGGCCGAGCTGTGCTTAGTGGAGCATGAAATGTTGAAATACATGCCTAAACTGATGTCTTCTATTGCAATCTATAAAGCACAGTGCTACCGCAATGGCTCTAGCCAGTAGAACAAGGCGCACGAGTGGTACACTGACTACTCAGAAGACCAACTTCTACGCCTAGAATTAGGAAAGAAACATCTGATTGGTAGTGTTTTTGTACATTCACTTACTATGTTTGCATGTAGTTCCCTTTTCAATTTTTCATGCAGGGTTGGACCTCTTAGCCGTGCTATGGTGGCGACAGTGAAATGAAGCTGCATATTACAAATATAGATGAGGAGCTCAGGTTTGGTCAAGCTTGGCCGATTTCAAGCCAGGCAATATGATATGTATAGTTAGTATGATGAGAGTTTATTTGGCCATGGTTTGTGGGAAAAGTTCAATTGGCTCATGATTATAACCGTTGTTCTAGTGAATTGCAGGTTTACATAGCAAGGGCCGATGATTTGGCTGGAGTAGATGGACCATTGGGGCTACTGAATTTGGATGCTCATAAAAAGGACAAAATCATACAGGCAGATTCGTAATCCCGTTAACGTTACTATGATAGACCAGCTATGGAGCTGTTTATATTTCCATAAATGATATTTTCCAGCTTATTAGTTCAGTTCTAATTGTTTTCCTAATATGTCACAATTATTCTAGCAGGTGCTACAACGACTAATACGAATGGAAAAACTTGGTCAAGTTGATGTTGTGCTTGATGATAAATGATCTGCGGGCATGAAAGAATAAGAGCAGCATGCTTTAATGTCAGAAGTGAAGGAAATCAACGAGATTTATTGTTAGTTTTAGCAGGTTTCATGTAACTTTTTTCCTAAGATATTGCCTTTCCATTTTTAACATATGGCTGCAATCAAAGTTGCTATCAATGGTGGAACGAAAGTTGCAGGTTAGGAATTGTTTGTAATAAAAAATCTACTAATGAGGCAGTTGCTAAAACTGGATAATATCAAGGCTAGAGGAGAAACTAGGGTTCAATGGAAGGATTAAGTACGCATAATAATAGACCGGCAAGTAGGTTCTTCGATCAAAGAACTGCATTGATTCTCGAGTTCCATAACTTAAAAACCTGGTATCTGTCAAAATATAAATTCTTTTTATGCATCTTTCAGTTGAGCTAGAAGAAGATTTTGCAACTAGATCCCAAAACTTTACAGCCTGCCAAGAAAGAAGAGATCTCGTTCGATAACTAAAATCTCTTACCTCACAACCGGCCATTGGGCTGGGGTCAAACCTAGCAAATTATCATAACAAAAAAGTAAAAATCAATATATTAATTAGGACCCATGTATGCAAATTTTCAAAATATTAATACATGAAACTAGTCTCAATTGAGTTTTTTTTCTTCATATTGTAATAACTCAAAATTCATGGTAAAGAAAACTCAATTGAGAATTCCAAAAAATCGATACAAGTAATTAACATATAAATCTAAACGTTCACTAGCGAAAGGCGTGTATGTGGTGGCCGGTGGGTGATTATAGAGGAAAATACTTGACTGCAACACAATTTGCAGGGTTGAGTTCAACAGTACGATGATCTGCTGATCCCCAAAAATTCGGCCACTTTATAGACATCACTGCTCAAGTAAGTGTGCGACTCTGTATGAGGACCTCCTTCCCTTCTGCCCACTCTCCGTTCACACGGTTCTCAAAGCAGAGGAGGAAGGGTGTAAGAAGGTACCACGAGCCCTCTGTCCCACACATCTATCCAGAAGCAAGTGTAGTTCACCGGTTCCACCGAATGCTCCTATCTCTCGGCAAAGATCGTGTGAGTGTGCAGTTATGCTTCGGATGCTTCGCCATAGAATAGATCGACCCAGTTCCCGTTCTTTTCCTGTGCACTCGCTTTATATCTCCGACACACAAGGAAGGACGCGGTGGGAAGGAAGCAGCCGAGAGCACCGCTTGAGCCAGTGTGATCCTCGCCGCTAGCGACATGGTCGACGCCTTCCAGCCCGCTAGTCGGCTGTCAATCCTGTCTATAAGCCCTGTGTAGGTTGCTTTGGATACGCGGTCGTGGATCACCGGAACTCACAAATATCGTCCGAGGTTCGTCGTCTGGGGTATCTCCAGCTCCTCGCTCAGCGCCTGTTGCTTCTCTGTCGCGACGTTTGCCGAGAAGAATACACGGGATTTGGGTTTGCTGATTTGCTGACCGGACGAACTCCCATTTGATTCTGTCGTAGGCTTTTGCTAAATCCACCTTCAACACCATCCACCCTTTGCGTCCTGTTTTTGCTCTCATGGAGTGCACCACCTCCTGCAAAATACATATATTGTAAGTGATTGCGAACTCAATTGAATTAAGAGCTCAAGACGTTTCTGATGCACTATTGAGCAGCTGGTATTCTATAAGAACAACTTACCAACAGGGTAGATGAAGACGACGTTATGCGAAGGTCGGTCGATGTAAGAGCAGAAAAGGCGAAGCAGGGGATAACGGGCTAGGGATTTGCTCCACTCTTCTACTACGCAGCTTGGCTTCTTCATGATGTCGGCGCGATTGGTGAAAATGACATGTTGGGGAATGTTAGTCGGGGCTAGGGAAGCCTTGAAGGCGGAGGTGGCGTTTAGTGATTAGGGAACTGTCGAAGTGCAGACACTACTGTTCAAAAAGCAGAGTTTTAATTGAATTAAAATGAGGAATAATTTTCCTAATTACCCATATGGGAAACACTCTATTGGCTGCTATTTAAAAATGGAGAAAAATTGATACATGAATCTCCATTATAATATTGCATTATGTCAATATTCTCGCGTGAGAAGATATGTAAGCGTCCACCGTGGGACAACACCCTATGCCTATGCGAGTACCAATTTGAATGGCGTGAGCTGCCCCGAATGTACGTATACATCCAGCTGCAATCACCGCCATGAAGATTGACCCAAGGTTGTAACATGAAGGTAGAGATTGATGGTGAAGTCGTGCATGGAAAATAGATTGCGGATGCGAAAGATGAAGAAGAGGAAAATGGGTCGAAACACAATTAATTGGCCCATCACATTAAGTTGGCATGGTTATGATATTCGGCGGACTATTCCGGCTTTCTATTGTATCACTCCGCAAAATCGTCTGGTGGCAACAAATTTGAAATGAGGTTGGTAATTATCTCATTCCAGTATAAATTTATCTCAACATGTGGTAAATTTTATTCTTCCATATTACCAACAGGCCAATCCCATGAAGTTTTTAAGGACTACTAAGCTCGCACCAAATAAGAATAAAGAGACCCAAAGGCCAAAACCAGAATAAAAATAAAAAACACATGGGAGTCCAGACAAACCCCGAATAGGAAACCGGTCATATGTGTTCTATAAATCCCAGAGGAATAATACCATACAAAAGACGGAAGCACAGAAGATTGAACCAACCCAAACCAAGCGGGACTCTTCCCCCCTCAATGCATCGATTTAATTCAAACACTCCGACCAACGGGCCAGGTAATAGATATTATATGTGATTGCTAATCCATTCCACTTTATTATCAAAGTTGGACCGTGGAACCCAAGATCCCATCTCTATAATTTTGGTGCGGCTAAAGTTGTTGCTTCCATTCGACAACTAAAGTTATTTCTAGGATTCATAAATGGTTACAAACTTATTGACTTAGTACAAAACGGTCACAAATCTTTAATTTTGCACGTTCAGTCAAAAATCTTTAACCGAATAACAAAAAAGGTCATTCCGTCTATCTCCGTCCAAAAATCCATTACTTCTACCCAATCAGCATGCCACGTCACTTAAAATAATAATACGAAATTCATAACCAAATTCAATTGAACTAAATCAACCCAACCGAAAACCCACCCCTTTGGCGGCTTGGAGAGAAATTGGTGGTATCTCTCGCTCATAATAGAACGATTCCCCTCCCCTGCCCGCTGACTCACTCCTACTGTCACTCTAGAAAATGGCCAAGTGTAACCACTTCCTAAAGCGTAGTATAGCGGGTTTGGGTTTTATTGTCAACCCGGGTCCTAGATGTGATGACTACTCGGTGAATTCTCGTTATTTAGCAGTGAACTCTTAGTGCAAACTCAAGCAAACAAAAACATAAAGCAAGTAAACGGTTGTTGTCAAGTCAAGAGAGGTCACCCGGATATGGTTCCCCCTAGACTGTAGTTACGTCGGATTGCAATTTACCAAGTTCAGTTTTCATGAAAGTTATACTGCGGAAGGTTCTCAATTAGCCTGAAGTCTCGACTAAAGGTCTCCAGACCCTCTCAAACTGAGTCTCTAGCGGGCGACTAACCTCCACCGGAGTAAACAGATTGAGGCCCTAACGAACCAAACCTCCACTACCGAATTGATTTCGGTACAGAATAGCGACTTGGCTCCTCGACTAAAGTCACCAATTCGCCACCTTCGATTAAGGGTACTCTATCAAAAAAAACCTAGGCAGATATTCTCGTTCTAGGTCAAAGCAGAAACAACAGGAATTTGATCAGGATTCAAGTCATTCAATCATTCAAACCTCAATCGAATATAATCAATTCACAAACTCTGTACTTGGGTTCATACAATCAGACCTAGCATACAATTCTAGGGTTCCCCATACCCAGATGAATGGGGGAACTACTCCATAGAGAAAGAAGCAAAAGCAGATTCAGACGCGGAAATCATACGGTGAAGATGGATTTCTGCTCCTGGACGTTTAAAATCACTTCTCCAAGCTCAAGCCGGGCTCCAATGGTGATGAAGATCGAGCTATGGCACTTGGGAACTCTGGTTCGTCGCTTTCTCTCTCTAGGGATCGCTTTCTCTCTCAAAAACTCGGAACCCTTTGAAAGTTGGCCTTCTTTTCCTTTTATCAGCTGCCATCGCGATACCCGGTCGGGTATTTTGGATTTCGACCGGGTATATGCAAAACGCGCCGCTTTGGTGAAGCTAAAATCCCCGGTCACTTTCCATAATCCCCGACCGGGGATTTATGTCATCTGCCCGGGCCCCTCTCTGTTTCTCGGGCGCCCAAAACAGTGAATACCCGGTCGGGTATTTGGCCACCTGACCGGGTATTTTCCTCCTGCGGCTCACTCTGTCCCAACTTCGCTCCTTTCGACCCAGAACTCGTTCCTCCGCCTCGATTCCAACGCCGGGACCTGAAATATGACATAAACACACCCCCTAGCGTGAAATCGGCTTAAAACACTAGAATCCACATCTCAAACGACTTCAGAATGGGGTGAAAACATGTGTAATTATTGGTCTATCAAACTCCCCCACACTTAACCGTTTGCTTGTCCCTAAGCAAACCAAGTCAGACACCAGGTAAGCTCAAAACGTTTCAATCAAGCAGGCTCTAGGGCAAATCGTATCGGCACAAAACACGTGGATCATACTGGCTTTCGATCATCAACACAGGGCAACTCGAATGACAACCTAGACAACCACCACAGACGACATTCGAATGCAATAAAGTCGAGCAAAGGAAGAGTTCTCTCCTGTTCACCAACCAACATAGACTTGACTCAATCACTTGTTCAAAACAGTCACTTCATGCACAAAGCTCAAGATATCAGAATTAAAACTGAGCAATCTAGGTCCTCACCGGGGTAAAGAGTATAGAGAAAATGAGAAAATGAATCGCTCACTCTCGACCAGTGGGGTCAGGACAAATTGATGCGAAAAATGCGCATGCTTAGTCTCTCAATCCCTAACGTCTCTTCACCATGAATGCAGCCTCTAAATGCTAGAGTTCACAAAAAGGGTGTCACCACTAACTAATCCGGAGGTCTTAGACACAGGTTCAAATGACTGGCTAGGGTCTTGGACATGGGGAAAAGGCCTTTTAGGTGGTGGCAGTTATAGCACAAGGTTCCACATTTCCAAACCCGAAAACACCATAATCAAGCAAACCAGTAACTTTCGCTCTGCTATTCTGCATTAATCAAATTCTTTAGGGCACAAGAGCGAAGGAGGTTATATGAATGTTAGCATTTCCAAGCCAGACTGCTAGGAAACACTACTTAATGGGCACTATTCAGATTTTTGGTGGTGGCTCTCTTTTGCCTTCATTTTTCTTTGTTTTTTCTTTTTTTTTTCTTCATTCATCATTTAAGAGAACCAACACCTCTGCACATTTTTCAAATACACGCCCAACTTTTAAGCACTACCTCCAACCTTCACATTACATTTAGCGGAAACAGCAGAAAACATGCAAAAACCACTCTGTGGAACCTTCTACAAGATGCAAAGGGTGATTTTTCATTTTAGACCGAAAGAAAGGATAACACACGGCTCAAAGGGGCTGACTAGGGGATATGACACATCGGGACAGTCAGTTTGGTCGTGGGCTAATCCTATGCCTCCATCATCTTAGCTAGTGACAACGTGAATGCTACATTTCATGGAAGAGGAATCTATCGCACAAGAAAGAAACGAGCAGGCTCAAATCTCACATGGCTACCTATATGCTCTATCTCACATTCTGATTTCCTGAACTAGATGCATAAATGACTGTCAAAAGCAAGTGATCAAATGCAGGTCGCAGTTGGTAGGCAAACAGTTAAAAATTGAACCCCTACACAACTCTACTACACATCTCGGTCATCGTAATAGGTTGTCTTAGTCACATTCAAGTTGTCATGCATCGAGTCAAAAGCCATTCAATCCACTAATCACATCCACAGTGCCAATACGATCAATCAACAAGCAAACAGCAGTGCTTGGAGCCCTCAAATCTCGAGATTTGGACAGTGGACTAGGCTCCAAGCACACAAGCAGATCGGGTGCAGTCAAAAGATAAACATCATCCCCCCCACACTTAAGATCGACATTGCCCTCAATGGAGAAGAGGAAAGGAAAGGGGAACG